CACCAAAAAAAAAAAAAAAAAAAAAAAAAAGAATGCCCACGTCATAGACCCCAGGGTGGCTGATCTTCGGGTCATAAAGGGAAAGATGAAACTGGAAGAAACAAAGTGTGGAAGCAGCAGACACAGGTCATGCGGTTTTTCCATGAAACAGAAGCACCAAGGCCAAAGGATTTCCCTGTCCAAGCTCTATGTTGGGCATGACCTGTGACATCACTCAATGTTAAGGTGCATGTCGATATTTAAATATTTTAGAGCACAAATAAACTCAATATATGATAAAAAAAAAAAGACTGTATAGGATGGGGGTTTGAGTTTTTGCATGTGTGTGGAAACAAGGGAGGGATCAGATGAGAAAGAAAAAAGAGGTGACATTTTGCTTCACATTTTCAATTACTAAGAAAACAATAAACCGAAAAACCAATACAAACAAAAAAACAAGGTGCCGACTGATAAGGAACCTGGAAGTAATACATGGAACTAATGATGAACTGGCACAACAAAGGAAAAAACACAGAACAGACCCAAGGCAAAGTTCTAGCACATTAGTACATCCTTTTTATTTATTAATTCCTCCAAATGTATTAGTGTGCCACTGCTTCCTAGGAAGTGGCTTAAAGGCAGAAATATTTAAAAAGCAAAAACAAATACTTAAAAATTACAAATGTCTTCTATCCATTACAAAGTCACTGATGACTATAATTTATTTTGAGCTTTTACTAGAAAAGCGAAAATCCATAAATAAAGGCAGAAAAATTTAAACAAAGGGCTGCATTAATTAAACTATTTTTTTAAGACACTGGGTAGCCTGGGGGGAAATAATCATTGATTTCCTGAGTTAATCCTCAAATACATTATTTATAGTTTCCTTTATAGTCTTCTTTTCTGGACCTGTGAGTTTCTAGGAACACAAGAACCCTGCCTGGAGCTACTGTAAGGTGCTGAAACAAAGAAGGGTCTAACCATGAACCAGCAGGTTTTTCTTCCAACTGGAATGTAAAGTTTTTAATATAGGCATCATTTCCCCCCTAAATACAAGGTGATCACTGATAAAAGGTAATGTGCAATGTCTAAGGAATCACACCAAACAGAATTATTTTTTTAATTAAAAAAACTTATTGAAGTATAGTTGATTTACAATGTTGTTAGTTTCTGCTGTACAGCAAAGTGACAGAATGAACTATTGAAAAGGGCTTTTTTATGTGAAAGGGTGGGGAGGGAAAGGCCTCAGAGACAAAAATAGATATTAAAAAGTCATTCCACCACCTGGACATTTAACATACAAGTTCCTCTTTTCACTACAATGCGGCCTAAGCTACAAAGAAAATAAGCTAACCTGAGTTAGGATTCAATAACTCAATAGTACCTAAAAAATACAGGGAAAAACTTTTCTGCTCTTCTTTTTCCTTAATCCTTATTTCATAGATGCAGTGATCCAGAGCCCAAGTACTGGAACAGTACTGTAGTCCCCCCTGAAATCATTCCTTCATCTGTGGGTCTTAATATGTTATATTCTTCATGGGTAGGGAATATGGGCCAGACCAAACATTTAATAAATTTACTGACTGCCTATTAGGTGCTAATAAGCATTGTTGAAAAGTATTGGGAAGAATCAAAGAGAAAGACATTGAAAAGGAGGAAAGAGATATTGAGAAATGATAAACTATAAGCTTTCAGGAATGAACGTACTGTAGGGCAGAAAAGCTCAGATGTGTCTGAAAATCATTTCAGCTGCAATGGACTACGATGTTACAAATGTTAATGTTTGCTTTATGAATGACAGTAATTCAGGAGGAAAAAAACAAAACAAAAATAAAAACAAAGTGCCTGATATGAAATAGCTTTACCTGCAGAGGGAGGTACACATCATTCATAATGGGTAAGAATACACGTTTGCACAAAAATATTATGCAGGCTTGGGAATGACCCTTAGGTAAACAGTAGGGCAGATCTAGGCTGAGGGCAGGACATCTGATGTAAAGATCCTGGAAAAGGAGCTTTCATCATCATTAAGAATACGGATTCTTAAAAAATAAAAACTGGGGCTTCCCTGGTGGTGCAGTGGTTGAGAGTTTGCCTGCCAATGCGGGGGACACAGGTTCGAGCCCTGGTCTGGGAAGATCCCACATGCCGCGGAGCAACTAGGCCCGTGAGCCACAACTACTGAGCCTGTGCATCTGGAGCCTGTGCTCCGCAACAAGAGAGGCCGCGATAGTGAGAGGCCTGCGCACCGCGATGAAGAGTGGTCCCCGCTTGCCGCAACTAAAGAAAGCCCTCGCGCAGAAAAGAAGACCCAACACAGCTAAAAGTAAATAATAATAATAATAATAATAATAATAATAATAATAATAAAATAAAAATAAATAAAAACTGGTGAAATATGATTAAGTCTAGAGTTTCGCTCATTACTAGTAATGTGCCAATGTTGGTTTCTTCGTTCTGACAAAAGTACCATGGTAATGTAAGATGACAACATTAGGGGAAACTGAAACTAGGTTAAGGGGTAGAGTTCTTGTAGGAACTCTCTGTACTATCATTGCTGCTTTTCTGTAAATCTAGAGTTATTCAAAAATAAAACATTTATTTAAAGAATAAGTCATTTTAGTATAGCTGAAGGTAAACAAAACTCCTTTTCCCAGGATTAAGAAGTTTGCTTGAATTTCAGTTAGACTCACACAAATTTAAGAGGGAAAAAGGCACAAAACTTGAGCTGCTATTAAGTACATGTTCAAATTGTTTCAGAAATAAAGCCACAAAATTCCAGAATCCATACCCAGAAATTTTCTTTCAGTAACTCTAGAGTGGGCTTCAGAGTTTTAATCATGTGAATTAAAATATTTATTGAGCGCCTACTGTGTTCCAGGCTCAGGTGTAAGGGTTCTCTGCCCAGATGGAGCCTACATTCTAGTGGGAGGTAAGGAGGAACTCTAAACAACATACAAAACAAATTAGATATTGTTAAAAGTTAAAGGCCTTCCCTGGTGGCACAGTGGTTAAGAATCCACCTGCCAATGCAGGGGACACAGGTTCAAGCCCTGGTCCGGGAAGATCCCACAAGCTGTGGAGCGACTAAGCCCATGTGCCACAACTAGAGCCTGTACTCTAGAGCCTGTGAGCCACAGCTACTGAAGCCTGCGCACCTACAGCCTGTGCTCTGCAACAAGAGAAGCAATTGCAATGTGAAGCCTGCACCCCAATGAAGAGTAGCCTCCGCTCACCGCAACTAGAGAAAGCCCGAGCCCAGCAACGAAGACCTAATGCAGCCAAAAATAAATTAAAAAAAAAAAAAGGTTAATAAGGGCTACTGAAAAAATGTAACAGTGTAACAGGGTAAAGTGGGGCTGGAAAAGTCAGAGACTTAAAAATTACAATAAAAAATACCGTAGTTGGGCTTCCCTGGTGGTGCAGTGGTTGAGAGTCTGCCTGCCGATGCAGGGGACACGGGTCCGTGCCCCGGTCTGGAAAGATCCCACATGCCGCAGAGCGGCTGGGCCCGTGAGCCATGGCCACTGAGCCTGCGCGTCTGGAGCCTGTGCTCCGCAACGGGAGAGGCCACAACAGTGAGAGGCCCGCGTACCACACAAAAAACAAAAAAACAAAAAAACAACAAAAAAAACGTGGTTATAGGTGATCTCCTTGAGAAGTAGCATTTGAGCAATTTGAACAACATATTCAAGTTGTGCAAATATAAGTGGGCACAGCAGACACTCTCTGTGGAGGTGGGAGAGGGGACACTTTTTTTTAAATGGAGAAATTCTCATAAGCCTCTCCTCCCTCCTCTCAACATTTACCCACCTACCTCAAAACTCTGAGGATGTTATAATTTCATGAGAAAGTAGACCAACGAATAAGTTTACCACAAAGGATAGAGTAAAGGCTCTTTCATAAAAAAAAAATGTTTTATACAGAAATTCAGAAGAAATTTTCAGAGTTTTTCAAATCCATAGTAAAATAGAATATATAAAAATATAGCACTTATAAAAAAAAAGCCACAAAGAAACATTTTGTGTACAGATCTTCAGGAAAAAATACCCCCCCACACAAAGATGAGATAGTAGATTCACACATATATTCAAAGCCAGACAATAACATTTTATATCTGGTGCATTAAAATTGAAAGTCTAGTCTGTTTTTAGATTGAAGGTGGTGAAAGCACCAACGAGAATTGTGATGGTGATGAGACTTGGGGCTACATTATCTGGGAGATGAACTAAATGAAGATAGTTACAAAGAATGCATTTAAGGAAATACATTTTGAACCACTGCCATAGCAACAGAGTTCCTAGCTTCTCATGCATGAGCTACTTATTGTTTCTCTCTGAACATAAAAATACTACAAGGCCCACTCCGGAACCAACACCACTCTCCTGAATAATTAAGAGTAGAGTTCCTAGAAAGACTCAAAGGAAGGCCCTTTGACCCCCTGTAGGCCTGAGGAAGGGAGAACGAAGAAGGGACTTTAACACTAAGTTAGCTAGGTAGCTAGCGCTCTGGGAGTGCTAGTTCCTAAGCACCAGCTCTCTCCTGGAACCCAGGCCTATGCCTAGCCTCTCACTGCGTGTCTGTGTATTTGTCCCTGTTTAAAACCCTGCCTGATGTGTTGTTTTTCACAGGCTTTTTCCAGTTAAAACTCAAATTTTCATCTCACTTTCCTTCTTTTATGCCAGGTTATTTCTCAGCTCGGTGCTCACTTCTTATAGGGAGTCAGCTCAGAGCAGCTCCACCTGCCCAGTTACTCCAAATGCCTCGTCTTGTTGATAACAATCATGTTGTTATAAAGCACCTGTCTCTGCCACATAATTGGGCTTTCTGTGGATCAAGGTGCAGTTCCTGAAGTATATATAGACGTCTCTCTCTATAAACCAGAAAGTAGATTAAATAGGGCTTTGTGGTCTGACACCAGTGCTATAAGAAACATGTCTGAGTGGTTTTTTTACAAGCTTTCTAAAATGATGGGGTTACCTATTTCCAATCTGCCCCATGACACTCAGCTTCCTGTGGGCGCCCCATAGCATTTCCTTACTGTGGGTACTCAGATGACGATGCTTACTGACTGTCTTGGGCCCTCTGAATGGTAAATTAGTTGTAAGCAGGGACTAGAAGCAAGGCTCTAAGATTTCCCACGGAGTGACTCCGCAAATATATGCTGAGCAAAGATCATAAAATGTTGGAGCTGGGTCCATACTTTTCAGAAAGAGATAAAGGCTTAGGGAGGGAAGAATTTTGCTTAAGGTAACAGTTTGGCCAATATTACAAACCTTTTTCTGATGTGTTTTGTTCCAGATTTAGCAGGTCCTCAGAGGCACAAGAATCGGCTATGAGGGAAGGGGAGCTGTGAGAAGGCTGGCTCCCGTGCTGCTCTAACACAGCTTCCAGTTCTGCCATTTCCTGCTGGATCTTTAGCAGGTTATCTTGCATGGTATCCCTCTGCTGCAGACACGAGAAACGACACCAAGAAAGTTATACTCTTTTAGAAACTTGCCAGAAATCAAGAATATGTTACACCAATTAATTTTACCGTGGGACTTGAAATCACTTTGTATGGAATTATAAGTTCTGCCTGAGCACCTTTTTTAAAATTTATTTATTTATCTATTTATTTATCTACGGCTGCGTTGGGTCTTCGTTGCTGTGCGTGGTCTTTCTTTAGTTGCGTTGAGCAGGGGCTACTCTTCCTTGTGGTGAGCGGGCTTCTCATTGTGGCAGCTTCTCATTGCAGAGCACGGGCTCTAAGCGCACGGGCTTCAGTAGTTGTGGCACGTGGGCTCAGTAGTTGTGGCACGCGGGCTCTGGAGCGCAGGCTCAGTCGTTGTGGTGCATGGGCTTAGTTGCTCCGTGGTAGGTGGGATCTTCCTGGACCAGGGCTCAAACCCGTGTCCCCTGCATTGGCAGGCAGATTCTTAACCACTGCGCCACCAGGGAAGCCCTGAGCACCTTTTAATCTGACCATATTCATGCAATTAATGCCCATGAAATTATTTCAGAAAGATGTGGCAGGCAGATTAACCACTGCGCCACCAGGGAAGCCCTGAGCACCTTTTAATCTGACCATATTCATGCAATTAATGCCCATGAAATTATTTCAGAAAGATGTTAGAAGGGGAGAAAAAATTCCTCAAACTCTCCCAAATAGGCTTGTTTTATTGTGATGTCCTTTTGAAGTTGGTTATTTTCTTTTAAAGCTAGGGAGTGAAAAAATAAGGTACTTAAAACATTTTCGGTATTTAAAATTAGCATGATTCTGTTAACATCTTCCACAGGCTACATTTCAAAAATTTGGTATTGTGGTACTCATAAGAGATTTGGGTTAGTCCATATAAAAATGTCTAATCTCTGGCTTGTGAGGTCTCTTCCTTTTCTGGGATTCTTTGAACATTTAGTTTCTAACAGAACAAGCAAAGAGCTAATTCATTAATTTATCTATTTATTCATTCAACAACTATTTGTTGACCACCTATTATGTGTTAGGCACTGGGGATACAGCCCTAGAATGGTGCTGCCATTCTAGATGGGGACGGGGTACCTCGAGATCGCTGCAGAGAAGAACCAGCTATATGGAAGGATCCAGCAGAAAGAGCCCTCAGAAAGCCTGTAAGGCCAGTTACTGTTTTCAATTCAAGATAATGGGCTCCTCTTGCTTATGAGGCTCCTGATGTTTATTTCTCCTATTTCTCCATATGAAGAAGAAATCTGCTAAGTCTAAGGTTTTTGATAAGCGAAGTATTTGGTAAGTAAGGAGCTCTCCAAAGTATACATTTCTTCATTACTTTTAGAAGGAGCATGTATGGTTGCCAGCAAACCCTGGGGAAACAGATTGTTTCAACCTGTTTCTTCTGATCCTTGCAAATGACTTTGCCCTCTACTAAAAACAAGCCATCTACTTTCTCCTGCTACACTGAGTTCAGTTTTTAGGAGGTTTTTATGCCTGGGAAATGCATTCCCTGCTCCACTAAGGCTTCCACTACTACCCTGAGACTGCTTTGTTGCCAATGTCCACAGCAGCACCATTGCCACCACGTGGTGTCTTGTGAGTAGTTCCATCACTGATCAAATCCTAGCCAAGGGCTCACCTCAGTAAATCTGGAATGAAACCAGGATACCTGATAAGCTTCAAGGAGCTCTATCAGTCACTACTGCCACAACCATCACATCTAACTTCTGTGGCCATTAAATAGGTTAGAAAATCGGAAAAGTAATGGGAGAATTATAGGTACATAACTTTCCTTTGGGTTTTCCCAAAGCAGTTCCTTTATAACTTGGACAAATTCCCCTGCAGGCAATTGGCCTGATACATTTGGGAGACTAAACCCAAATTGGTTACCAAGTTTTCTTGATTCTAATTCTTGTGTTTCTTGAATTAGTCCTACTTTTCTTTCCTATTCCCACTGTGCTACTCTGATATCTACTTTTAATACAGCTAAAGTTCCCTAAAAGCCATGTTTATCATGTCTCTTTTTTCCATTAGGAGCTTAGTTGTATACAACTGCTCATATAAAAAGTTAACATTTTCTGAATACTGTATAATTATTACTCGTTATTGATCTCATGATAAATTCCAAATTCCTAAGCACAGCATTCAAAAGGGCCTTCACGGGCTTCGCTGGTGGTGCAGTGGTTAAGAATCCGCCTGCCAATGCAGGGGACATGGGTTCGAGCCCTGGTCCGGGAAGATCTCACATGCCGCGGAGCAAGTAAGCCCGTGTGCCACAACTACTGAGCCTGCACTCTAAAGCCCGTGAGCCACAACTACTGAAGCCGGCGTGCCAGAACTACTGAAGCCTGCACACCTAGAGCCTGTGCTCTGCAATAAGAGAAGGCACCGCAATGAGAAGCCCACGCACCACAACTAAGAGTAGCTCCCACTCGCAGCAACTAGAGAAAGCCCGCGCGCAGCAACGAAGACCCAACTCAGCCCAAAATCAATCAATCAATCAATCAATCAATCAATCAATCAAAAGGGCCTCCACACTCTGATCTTATCTCTTGTTTCTCCCCAAAACCACCACGTATGCCCTGTTTTCGTCACATAGGACAACTTTGTGTTTCCTGGGCATGATTTCACGCCTCTGTGCCGTTGCCTTGATTTACTGCCTCTCTTCTCTTTCCACCTGGAAAAAATTCTCATCTTTTAAGGTCCAGCTTGAATATCTCCTTCAGAAGTCCCCACCAATAATACATCTCCTGTCAGGAACAGATGACCCCTCAGTGCTTCATTTATACTGCTAGTGCATTAGTATACCAAAGTGGAATGTTCCTCCCAGATGGATGGAATCCTTCCTTAATCATTTTTGTATCCCTAACACCCAGCAGGCAGTAAGCATTTAGTAAATGTTTAATGCAGAAATGAATTAATGAATAAATATAGTTAATCAGTCTTTGATAAAGAACAGATACTAATGATACCAAATTAGGATTTATCTCCTATATATGTCTCCCCAGTTCTGTATAAACAGACCTTGGGAAAAGATCCCACTTCAATCATTTTGCTTGTTGGAGCTGCTCTAGATTTAAGTTAGCCCTGAAATCTGACTTTGGCTCTGTTTTGGGTAGATGCTTCATAAAAACAGGTTATAAAATGAACCTTGAACAAATAGACATATATCTCTGGGAACAAGATCAGAAATATAGAAAACAAGGAGGTAGCTTATTGAATGTCAAATATCATACAATATGGCTAAGGCAGATGGAATCAGAAACCGAACACTACAACTCTAAAACACAAGGGATAAAAAGGTGAAAGTCACGTTGACAGAGCCCCAAATCCACACTGAGAAAGGATCATAGTAATTGCAAACAGAGAAAAGGCCTCCTAGGGAATTCCCTGGCGGTCTAGTGGTTAGGACTCTGCACTTCCGCTGCAGGAGGCACAGGTTCGATCCCTGGCTGGGGAACTAAGATCCTGCAAGCTGTGCAGCACAGCCAAAAAAGAAAAAAAAAGAAAAGGACTTCAAAATCTTTTCATTAATTTAGTCACCATGGCAATCCTGCAGAAGTGGAGAATACACGTGACAATTCAGGCACAGAACAGGCAGTGGTCTCAGAGGTTTCTTCCTGACTCCAGCAGGCTTCAGTCCTGGAGGGATTGGCTCTGTGTTGAAAACAGGCAGAAGACAAGCCCTCTATCTATAGTCCTCATGACAATGCCAAGACTCAGAAGTTTAGAACTGGATACTACCCAGTGTTGGCAAAGGTATAGGAAAATGGGAGCTACCAAGTACCACAGGGGCTGGAAGAGCACAGTTTGGTTCAGTCTTTCTAAAGGACAATTTAATAACATGTATCAAACAGAAAAATTCCAGTCCTAGGGATTTATACTAAGGAAGTCACTGGGGATGTGGGCAAATATTTAGCTATCAAGATAATACTACAGGGACTTCCCTAGTGGCGCAGTGGATAAGACTCTGCACTTCCAATACAGGGGGCCTGGGTTCGATCCCTGGTCAGGGAACTAGATCCCACATGCATGCCACAAGTAAGAGTTCGCACGCCACAACTAAGGAGCCCGTGTGCTGCAACTAAGGAGCCCACCTGCTGCAACTAAGACCCGGTGCAACCAAATAAATAAATAATTTTTTTTTAAAGATAATAATACAGTGCTGTACATGATAGCAAACTGTGTCTCTTGCCCTGAAACCCTCATATTCAGCAATAGGTTGAATAAATCATGGTGTACACAAGGAAAGAATACTATATAGTAGTTAAAAATAAATTCACTGAAGAAAATTTAGTGACATAGTAAAAACAATGTAAGTATGTAGAGTACCATCTGAATGTTTTTTAAAGATAAGGTATACACACACACACACACCCCTGTGTACAACAGGAAGAAGAAAGAATATATACCAATAAGTTAATAGTAATGATTTTTAATGCATAGAATTTAATTTTAAAAATAATTAATACAAGTTCATGGTATAAAATTCAAGGCACAAAAGGATATTCAGAGAAAAGTAAGGCTTCTTCCTTCTCCTTCTCCCAATCATCTATTTCCCCACCTGAAGGCAACAACTATTACCTATCTTTTCTATATCATACCAGAGATAAATGTTAATATTTACCCAACCAATCTCTCTCTCTTTTTTTTTTTTTTTTAAGTTTTGGCTGTGTTGGGTCTTAGTTGGGGCATGCAGGATCTTTCATTGTGGCAAGTGGCCTCTCTAGCTGTGATGCGCAAGCTCAGTAGCAGCGGCGCACAGGCTTAGTTGCTCTGCGCATGTGGGATCTTAGCTCCTCAATAGGGATGGAACCCGTGCCCCTGCAGTGGAAGCACGGAGTCTTAACCACTGGACTGTCAGGGATGATTTTTATTTATCTGTATTTTCTAAGTTTTTTATGATGCACATATACAATATTATAAGACTATCGGTTTTTCTCAGTTTTATCTAATCTGTAATTTCAGGAAGTTCAGAAAAAAATGTCATTTTTTGCTAGCAGCTGAAGGTGTATTTAAGGTTTAGGTGAGAAAAAGAAGTCATGGCAGGATGATTCAAGGTGGTCCAGGTATCTCCATTTTAAGAATGTACATACTATAGTTCAGAGATGATAAGGAAATTGCCTTGAGTAACACAGCCAGGTACAGAACTCTCACCAATATTACCACCAGCAACCACTGTGTCCATATGCTAAAAAAATAAGTTGAGTGTCTTCCCTGGTGGTCCAGTGGTTAAGACTCTGTGCTCCCAATGCAGGGGGCCCGGGTTCGATCCCTGGTCAGGGAACTAGATCCCGCATGCATGCTGCAACTAAAAAATCCCACATGGCACAACTAAAGACATGGCGCAACGGAAGGAAGGAAGGGAGGAAGGAAGGAAGGAAGGAAGGAAGGAAGGAAGGAAGGAAGGAAGGAAGGAAGGAAGGGAGAAAAAAAAGCTGAATGAGCCTGAAGTTTTGAATGTGAGAACTTAGAAAATTTTGGTGCCACTCCTACAACATAAAAATTAGGATACAGAGCCAGGTTCTGTGAGGAATATGATGTTAATTTTTAGATGCTGTGGTAGAGAATGCTTTTTCTAGGAGACTATTCTGCCTGGAGTACTGAAATATTCATGTTACCAAATGTTGTAGATATGACAAAGCTGTTACCCCCCTCACAAGTCACCAAAATATCGGATATTTACCACTAGGAGCAAGAAGTAAAATTGTGTACTTTTTAAAGAAAAAAGATGACTTACAGGCACTGAAGAACAAATAACTATACGATTTAAAAAGAAAAAACAAAAAGAAGTATCCACCAAACAGTGAAAGGCTAGATAGTGTCTAACAGGAAGAGAACGCTGTAGGTGTCAATTTGGTACTGAGAAGAAACACACCCCTCTATTTGATACAGTAGTGCTTTCATATATGTTTTTGCTATAGGGCAAATGGGTTTTGAAGGTTTCACTTATTTATTAAATTCAGTATTTAGTGTTCTGCAGTGAGCATGTTGGTACGTACATGTGTGTATGTGTGTGTATGAAATAGGAGGTAATGTGTTCCATCTCGGTGCTTACAATCCAATTTGAGGAGACAAGGTCCCACACACAACTGTTATACCATTAATTCTAAGAGGTGATATAAGCAAATGTAAGAATGCGGGATGCATAGCACTGAGAACACCACACACACACCCCCATGTGCTTTTACCTGAGTGGTTAAGATATCGCTCTGAGAGGACAGCCCCAAACAGTCTTCAGAAAGGCTTGTTTCACTCTCATACTCGGATGATGCTTCACCTTAAATGATAATAAAAACAGAGATTCAGATGTAAAAACAGACAGCCAATACTCCAACTTGCAGTACGTGTTTCTTCTCATTGACAGGACAAACTTCACTTTCATGTCACACAAAATGATTACACTCTTTGTTTAGGGACACCGGATTTCCTCTTAGGAATCGTAAGGATGAAAACCAGAAGCAAGCCCACCAATAATTAGGGCATTAAATCTCATTCAAATAGAAAAGATGTTCTAGCTGAGTAAAGGACTTTTGAGGAAAAGCACCTTGGGAGGAACATGGTTAAAGTTTAAGAAGCAGTTACTTTCATTGTACTTGGAAACTCGTAAAATGTGCTCCCCCAAAGGCATAAACATTTAGTTCATTTCTATAAAATAGACAGGGGCAAACACAAAAACCTGGTTCCAATACCTAAGTCTGAATCCACACTCTGCTCTTCTTGGCGATTATCCTCTTCCAAGCCAGTTTCCCTTTCGTCATCATCTGAAAGCAATTCCTTATCACTCAGAACTTCCTGGTTTTCAGACTGATGCCCCACTTGTTTGGAAAGAGGATCAAACATCAAGAAAGGATCCTGGGTGTTTGTATTAGCGGTCAAGTCTTCCACTGCACTGCACCGTGAAGAAAATAAGCTATCAGAACACCTCGCTTCCTCATGAAGGTGATGTTCCTGGGATGCCTTTGCCGATGTTACCTGGTCACTGCAGTCATTTAAGCTATTCTTCAATGATATTAGGTTCTCCTCTGTTTCCTTAGATAGACCCTCTGTGGCAACAGCATTATGTCTGGTAGATGGAGACAGTGTATTGGTTACTTTACCAAATAAGTGTTGGAAGCAGGGAAGCTCTTCATCCTCACTAGACACATTCTCTTCTGAGGACTCAGCCCCTCTTTCGTGGCCCTGAACCAAACATGTATGATGGGCTAAAGGGCCAGGGCTCCTTCTGAATTCTCCTTTTTGGACACTTTTGCTAAAAACAGCAGATCTTTCCTTAATGTCACTTTCAGCAAAGTTGCTATTTTCCTTTATTTTGTCATCATTTAACAACTCATCAGGTGTCTCAGAACAAACCTGAGAAGCATGGCTTCTTCCCATAGGTTGTTCTAGGTTATCTGAAATTAGACATGGGGAGAAATCTTCATTAACAGTCTGAAGTGTGCCTTCATTTTCTCCTTGCCTTTTTATTTCAGGAAGTTGACAGTTACTTACAGGAAGACTTTGCTTATAGACTTCGGGTTGCAAAAGACCTAATCTGAGCAAAGCACTTAATTTAGGTCCTCTGTTTCTATCTAGTTTTGCTTGAATGTTTTCACCACTGGAACCTACTTCATTAATACTGCTTGAGCTGACTTCTTTAAAAGTGTTTTCTCGACTGTTATTTTGGCTAATTGTGCTCACTGTACTTTGAATGATGCTCTCGTTTTCCATTGCTCTTTCAGGTGACATTACAGGTTCCTCAAACTTTTCCTCTGACAGGTTTTTCTTACATATAGTTTTAACAGATGACCTGATGGGAGAAAGTGATGGTAAAAGATATGGGTTGTGTGAAATCCCATGTTTATTTGCAATAATGAGCTCAGTTTTGTTGCCTCTGAACTGTGATGACTGACAAAGCCTAGTTACTCTTTTTGGGCTACGTTTGGCATGATCGCTCGGCTTCTTATCTTTTTGATCAGCGACAGGGAAGTCCACAGTTGTATTAATTGCCCGCACATGCTTGATTTTAGACTCACTCTTTC